AGAGAGAGAGAGAGAGAGAGAGAGAGAGAGAGAGAGAGCGAGAGCAAGTGTCAAGTGTGCAAGTGCGAATAACGAGGGAAACGGGGGAGGTAGAATGCGAATGGAAAGATTGGTTTCAAGGATCGAACAGCAAGAGAAAAAGAGGAAAAAGAGGTTCTGGAAGCGCAATAGAAGCACGACACCGACGATAGACAAAGAAAAAAGAAACGTGAAAGTTGAAAAGATGTAACAGCGGTGGACGGTGAGAAGACGGTGCGGAAGATACAGACGAACGTGCGGCAGAGGGTGAAAAAAAGGCGTGGATTGATTGTAATCCTGGCCAGCTCCTTCCTCCCCTCTACCCTGATCGATACAACCCTTTTAACTATTTACTCTCTTTAATATTGCTATGTGTAAGAAAACTACAACAAATCGAGGGATGTGTCATTTATCGATAAGAGAAAGAAAAATAGAGAGTGGAAACGGGTGGTGAGAATTTCGAGGGAGAGAGAGAGAGGGAGAGAAAGAGAGAGAGAGAGAGAGAGAAAGAGTCGCAAGGTGTACACCAAGATAATATAAATATATAAATATGAACGCGCGTGGCATGCATACATACGAACAGAAATACGATCGCGCAGATTGAAAGATGGAACTGTACACGGAACAAGAACACGAGTTATCAAATTTGTCAAATTTTTACATTTCCATTTATTTTCCCGCACCTTTGCCTGGCCTCTTTCTTTTCTTCCATACGATCAGTGCTTCTATATAATGATAAACGAATTATCAAAGATAATCTCAAGTTGGCAATATAGATCTACTGAAATACTTAAAATACATCAAAATACAATACAAATTTGAATTTAGATTCAACGTTCGGAGAAGCGACGTATATTTTCTTGGCCGTGTAAACGTTTCTCCTTCGATTAGCGCGGATCTTGTATAACTGAGAGGGACACCCCCGCAGTCGTACACAAACGCACACACACACACATACATACACATTTAATACACGATACCGCTATCATTTATTATTACTAATAATATTACTGCTACTATTATTACTATAACTGGTTGCTTGTCGATTCGGCTGGCGCCAAGCAGCAATCCAAACTACTATGTAACGATTTTTATTGATAACAAAATAAGGAATAAACATTGAAGTAATAATTGTAATAAAAAGGTAACTCCCAGGCGTCGTTGAAATATTCGAATCCGCCTCACGTTTTTAGCTTTTCCTTTTTTGTTTAGAAAAGGAACAAACATATATCTATCTATCTATATATATATATATATATATATGATATATAATATATAATATATACGTATATGTATATATAATCTTTTCGTTTTATGGAAAAAAAAGAAATCGTTCTCGTTACGTTCTCGACGGTGTAACGAATCGCATATATTTTTTTCGTGTTCTACCGAAACTCGATCAAACTTAATGGCCGATAAAAGTAATTTTAACTTTTTCGAAAAAATATGTAAAAACTGGAAGATGTAGTCAATGTTTATGATTCATGGAAGTGACAGAAGTAGAAAACAAAAGCGGGTGGGTTGGGGGGTGAGTGAGGGTGGTGCGCGTCAAGTACGCGCGCGCGTGTGTCTGTGCGCATGAGAGAAGAGTGACAGAGAGAGAGAGAGAGAGAGAAAGGGTTACATTTGGTTGGTTAAAATTAGATATATAACTTTGTAAAGCTGATATATATACTTGCTCTTAAGATTTTTTTGCATATGTCGACAAGAAGATTCTTCTTCGGAACGAATAATGTTTAAGGAAACAATAAATTTGTATAAAGCGGTGTAACGAAACGTCTTTTGTTTTCATTCATTGAAGAAACGTGCGCAATGGAGAAATTTATCGCGGAGTTTTTCCGTCGTTCTCGTCACCGGATATCTATCTCGCGGCGAACCGTTGATAAAAACCGTGCTCTTCCGCGACCACGAGTAAGATTTCATCACGTGTATTCTCGGTTCTAAAACGCCTTTATTGTTCCAGTATTATTTAATATTTCATTCGAATATTATTTAACAGGCATTGTTAGCGAATCACACTTACCTGCTCTCTGGAATGGAGATTTTCATGGAGATTTAACGTGCA